ATCCTATTCATGGAAAAAATAGAACACCCGATCAAAATTTGAAATAAAGTAAATCTCAGAATCCTTTTTTTATTTATTGCAGGACCATCATAAAAACCCAGGTAATCTGTCTGAACACTCCAGACTCATTCATCAGACTGTACTACTTTGCGTCATGTACTTTTCTTTTTTTGACTTTCTCGATTGCTTGTATGAGGTTCTTCTTTACCTACATTTTAAATATAGGGTATGCTTTTGTCTTTCAAGAAAAATAAAATTGTGATATTGTATGTTATGAAGTTCTGGAAAACATCTTTTTCTTTTCAGAGTAGAATTGCATATTAGAGCAACATAAGTAAGGAAAATTATTAAGCACTTTATTTCAGATATATAAAATTTCTACTCTATCAGAATCAGAAAAAAAAGAATACCAAGTTAAATTATGAGTTGCTTGGGAAATTTTGCCATTAGTCTTATCATAATTAACCATCCTTCCAGATTCAAATTGTGTTCACTTGAGTTGATTTTACTAGCACATCTTTATTCTTAGATGACAGAAAACCTACAACAGATAAAAGACTATGTAACAAAGGTACAGAGGGAAAAATTAAATCAGCTTAGCATGTTTTACTACTGTACTTTTATACTTACTATTGTACTTTTTTTGTCTGTATAAAAGAAAAGTGTAGTTCCTCTCAGTTCTGTCCAATAATGCTTATACTCCTGTGGGAAAATAATTGCAAACATTAGTATATTTACAATGATTTTCTTTTTTTAACTTTCTCAATTGCTTATATGAGGTTCTTCTTTACATTTTAAATAGCTTTACATATAATTCTTGATTAAATCCTTATCAAATTTATTTTAGTATAACCTTAAGGTAACAATATAACTTTTTCCAAACTCTCCTCATGGTTTAAGACCTTTATGCAGTTTCAGTAGAAGCTTGCACATGTGAGATGGATCACTGAAAGGCCCTGCTCAGGACCAGAATATGGTACCTTCTTAGGAGGATACTTGGAAGGATGGATGAATTCATATATGTGGCACACTCAGCAGACTACGTAGCTCATTATCTAGGTCAACAATATCCCATAGTATATTGAGCAAGGAAATGTGAAAAAGAGATAGTAATTTTTTTGGCACTGTGAACTGAACCCCAACTTTTGCCCTGAGTACCTAGGCAAGCACTTTACCACAGTGAAAATAATATAACACCCAAATATCACACTATCAAAGCTTAACTTTGAAGACCAAATTTCATTCATGTACTAATATTTAATTATTAATATATTTACATTACTGCAAGTGCTGTAGAAATTAAATAATTAAATTTTAAAAATTTAAATAACTGAGCTGGACTTTTAGTTCACTCAAGTAAAAGCTTATTTGAATAAATATAATTGGCTATATAAAGAAGTAGAGCAAATGA